CCTCCACGCGCCCTACAATGAAAATCTCCCCAAAAAAAAAAAAAAAGAAATACTCTGGGTGCATGTGCATGTGCCCTAAAATCCCTAGAGGAAAATGGAGGGTAAGAGATTACATCACGGCCACTCCTCTGAAGACTGAGTCTCACTTTCCCTTGCTCTGTCTCTCTCCTGAGAGCACTTGTATCCTATGGCAAACAAAGGCCACTTATTTGTAAAAAGAAAAAAAAAAAAGAAATTCAATATGCACTATGGTTACACTTATGTGAGATATATGTATGTGTGTGTAAAGAACAGGAGGACAGGGAACCAGCTGTTAGCGTAATGGCTGTGTCACTGAACTCCCACGTAGTCGACCGCAGTTCGCATCCCGGACCCGGTGGCTTAAAACTCACGCCGGGCGCGTGTGCGTGCGTGCCCAAGATCCGGAGAGGAGACTGGAGGAGAGGGGATTGCGGCATGACCATCCCCCTGGGGGGTGATTTCTCGCTTTCTGTCTCTATGTCTCTGTCTGGCTGGCGAGCGCACACGCCCTAGCGAAAAAACTTCTCCAAAAAAAAAAAAGAACAGGAGGACATGCTTATAATATTAAGACAGTTTTAAAGTGATATTTAAAATTATATTCTGAAGTATCAAATGGTAATGAGAATGGAAGTAGCTCAACCTTTCTTAAACACAGCACGTCCTAAAGATAAGTGCGGAAGTCTTGGATATCCTGTCCTCTCACTTGTATGTCTACAAATGTGCCACCCTGAGAAAATCATCTGTCTGATGTACGAGAACAGACCTATAACACAAGAGCGTTCATTTAAGGGCGTTTGCTATTGTAAAAAAAAAAAAAAAAAAGAGAGAGAGAGAAAGAGAGAGAGCAAGAGAAAGAGAGAGGGAAAAACTATCATAGTAGAAAATAAAAAGATAAAATTCAAGAAACAGGAAACTGTCCTTGCTTCCGGTTCATCAGAAAAGTCGTGACATATTTCTCTATGCTTTTCTATGCAAAAATGCGTCATGGCTTTTCCAATAACCCAATATTTTCAAAATTTGGTTACTGACCCAGAAAAGGACCTTCCGTTATGGCAGAGGTAGCTAACTGGCTTCCAGTGCCTGTTCTTGCCTTCCTGCTTCCAGTACTCAAACCCCCACATCTTTCCACTAAGATGTGGCTGCCAGGATAGATAGAGGAGGCGTTTTTTCCTCCCTCTGCAAGCAGTTAGGCCAGGGCCCTGTGCTCACTTCTGAGCTCTCCTTGCTCAGCCACTTGCCCTGAGCCTCCTCCCTCCTGCCTTCCTGGGGTGGAGGAGACACAGAGGTGAGCCAGCTGCCACCCGGCAGAAGAGGACAGCACCCCAAGGAGGGCAGAGCTACAGTGTGACGGGACCTGGGTCCCTGCATGCCCTCATGGAACACAGCTTCTCTCCCACCTCCTCACTAGTCTGGGCCACTGATTTCTGAACTGTATGATGACAAAGAAGTAAATACTTTATGTAGCAGCTTTATTCTAGGGTCTCTGATACAACAACTTAGCCTGTAACTAACAGATACCATGTCATTTAATTCAACAAAAAGTTACAACAAAGTGCGTGTCTTCATAGCATGATCCTTATTTGTTTGTTGGCATGATCCTACTTTTGTAATGGGAATGATTACACAAAAAATGTAAGATTATTAAAAATATTAATAGTAGTATTGTTCAGCAGTGAACATACAAGTGCTTTTCTCCAACTCATGTATTTTCTAAAATTTCCTAAAATATACAGTAAAAATCATACCAAATACCCTTTTTATAGTGTGTAAAGCCCACCACACACAAACACACACGCACACATATTTTTTTCTTTTGGAGAGGTTTTTGCTACAGGGTACATGCACTTGCCAGAAAGACAGAGAGAGACAGAGAGACAGAAAGTGAGAAATCAACCCCAAGTGGGGATGGCCATGCCGCAATCCCTTCTCCTCCATTCTCCTCCCAGGATCTTGGGCACGCACACACACGCCCGGCATGAGTTTAAGCCGCCGGGTCCGGGACTCAAACCACAGTCGACTACACGGGAGTCCAGTGACATAGCCATTATGCTAACTGCTGGTCCCTTTTTAAATTTTTTTTTCCAAGAAAGCAGGTTTCAAATGGTAGAGGACATCAGAGGTGCTTGCTATCCATCTCCCAGGGACACACCCGCCCCCAGAAATTCAAGTCCTCAGCAGGTCTGGGTTACATTTAGCAAACTGTACCTTTACTAACACTCCACAGAGCTATGACCAACACTGTAACACTGGGGAAGGAGACCAAGGCATCGCATCGGGAATGTCTGAACTAGGGATTCCCAACAAGGTCAGGCAGAAAATTCCACTGGGCAGATTTTTTTAAAAAATACAGAATCTGGCACCAGCCAGTGGTGTGGTAGTTAAGGAAGCTGAGTCCCACATGGCCAACTGTGCGGTTTATTTTTATTTTCATTATTTTTTTTGCCTCTATATAATTTCTGAATTTTATAGAATGAATATGCATTACTTGTGTGATATGTGATAAAATGATCAAAACTGTATTTTAAAAGTTAGTGGGGCCAGTCTGAGGCATGGTGATTGAAGTAGCTGGATCCCACATGGCCGAATGCATGGTTCCAGTCCCAGATCTGGTGACTGGAGGAACACACTGGGCACATGCGCATGCCCAAATCCTGAAAGGAAGGACAGAGAGAAGGGACTGCCATCCCCCACAGAAGGCGCTCTCTCCTCTCCTCTCCCTCCCTCTTTGGCAAGCACAAGCACCCCCTGGGAAGTTAGAAAGAGTTAGTGGCTCTGTGTTTGGTTCAGCTCTGCTTTGTCTATGGATGTTCCAGTCTGAATTGTGAGCAGGCTGTCTTTCCCCTTGAGAAAGGTTTGCAGAGAGGAGCTTCATGGGCACACAGACCTTCCTAGCACACACCCAGCTGCGCTCCCGAAACACCTACCTGGTGCCAGTGTAACATGTTTTGCACAGAAGTTCCAGCAGGACAGTGTGATGTATACACATCGACTCTAGACTGCAAAACAGATGTTGAAATAAAGAATGAAACCAGAGTTGAGGTGATATTGGCAATCGGTGTTTCCCTTTGCCCTTCAATGTATTAAAAACTACAGAGCCATAACCTCAAATACACGAGATCAGGGGCCGGGAAAAATCCTTTGACGACAAATACATCCTATAAAAATACATACAGACACAAACTCAGAGTCCACACGAAGGAATTGCAACCATATGTTAAGTGTGGGGTTGTATCGGTAAGATTAGGTCATTTTTACTTTCTTCTTCATACTTGCCTGAATTTCCAAAATTATATAGAGCAGTCACACTTTAATCATCAGAAGATAAGGAAAATTAATATCACTCAAAACAATTCCTTAGAGCCTTTACTCCAGAACTTTAAAGCCCAATCTCAAAACACAGCACTACAAACTACAAACATGCTTAAAAACATCACTGTTATTGCGAGCCTAGGATTTACATTTGATAAATAAATACGCACACACATGCATTTATATGTGTGTGCATGTATGTATGTGTATGTATGTAAAAGGCCATTCTGAACTTAAACACACTATAGGGTGTGTTTTGTTTTGTTAGGGTGTGTTTTGTTTTGTTTTGTTTTGTTTTGTTTTGTTTTGTTTTGAAGAAACTAATCATTAAGGTAAGTGTAAACCCTGTGACTTCCATTGTGAAAGGGCTCTTCCCTCTCTTGTCCCCACGAAGGCACAGCGTGGGAAGCAGCCCAAGTCCTCCAGGCCACGGTGACTCCTGAAGCTCTTAGTGACAGACCCTCCAGAGCTCTGATGGGGCTGCTACTGCCTCTCCCACACCATCCTACACAAATAAGCACCTTCACAGGTAAACTAACAAAACCAGTCCAAGTTTAAATGAATTCCTTAAACATACATACCATATTTAAATTTCTCTCATTAAATCCACATAGAAGGAAGAAGACATTTCCACAGAGCTCCTTCAGAATGACGTGAGTGCAAACATGGGTACTCATCCACTTCAGAAAGGCACTCTGGGGGAGAAATTCTTTGTCCCCAAATAAGTCCTATGAAACAGAAAGAAACCCAAGACTACCTTAGCATTTCGCTCTGGTACAGAGGCCGCCACCGCCCACCTCAGACGCTCTCGCTGAGGGTGTCCACACACTGCCTCACAGAGCCACCCAGGAATAGGTGGACATTCAAACCGGGGCACTGGAACTTTCAGTTCTGTGGACGCTGGCCAACACATCACCACCACAGGTGTGCATTTAAGGGCTCACAACGATACAGAAAGAGACAGAACTCAAGTAAGCTTACAGTGGATTTAGCCAATGAGAAGGACCCTTAATGATCACCCATCCCAGGGCCAGCCCCCACAGAGTATTTATTTGACCAAAGGATCGAGAAACAGTCTAGGCTGATCAGCATGTCTACTCTGGAGTGTGTGCGTCTGATCTGATCCTACTGGCCAGTGAGGCAAATCAGCCCACTGACAGCAGTTGTTAAATAAAATCAAATAAAAACTTAGCATGGTAGTACATACGTACATAACATAAAACTTGCCATTTATCTTTTTTTTTAAGAAAGAGATTTATGCTAAAGGTCTTATGTACTCAAAGGAAAGATAAAGAGGCAGAAAGTGAGAAATTGGCCCCCTTGGGGGATGGCCATGCTGCAATCCCTTCTCCTCCATCCTTCTCTTGGGACTTTGGGCATGCATTCACATGCACCTGGAATGAGTTTCTAGCTGCCAAGTCCAGGACTTGAACCACAATCAGCCATGTGGGAGTCTAGCACCCTAACCACTATGCCACCTGCTGGTCGCCATTTTACCATTTTTAAGTGCTCAGCTCAATCCCTTCAGAGCATACACACTGTCATACAGCTATCACCAATGTCTACCTCCAGATCTTTTTTGTCTTTCTAAACTGAAATTCAATGACCCGTTAAATAATAATTTCTCATCCCCATGCCCCTAGCACTGTCTGTTTTAATAAATAAAGTTTTCTTGGAACATGGCCACATCATCTCTACACACTGCCTCTGGCTGCGTTCATGCTACCAGAGAAGACTGGACTGTTACAACAGAGACCACGAGATCCACAAATCCAACATACTGTTTGGCTGTTCACAGAAAAAGCTGCCAACCCCTGGCCCACACCATTTTTAACCAATGGCCATGGAACCCACACGCAAGTACTTCGGGAAAAATCACCACGTTCTCAAGGCAGGTCTTCACATACTTATACACCAGAAAATAGGAAAAAGATTTTCCTTACATTGAACCCAAATGTATCTCCTTTAAATTACACTCTCACTCATATCCTCTGGAGGGACAAGCAGGTATGAAAAACTCAAATGGCTCCAAAGGTGGTTTTAGGATTGCATGGTGTCTTTCCTTAAAAGAAAATTATGCTAAAGTCTTGAGCCCCAATATCTCAGAATGACTTTATTTTTATTTATTTCTTTTTCTTTCCTTTTTTCCCCCCTGAGGGCAAATGCACATACCTAGAGAAAGAAGACAGCCAGACAGGAACAGTGGGAAAGTGAGAAATCACCACCGGGGTGGGGCGGGGGGGGTGATGGCCACCAGGTCTGGGACTCCAACCAAAGTCAGCCATATATGAGTCAATGACATAATCGCTATGACATCTGGTGGTCCCCAGAATGATTTTATTTTGAGCTAGGATCTTTATAGTAGAATCAAGTTAAAAGCTGATGAGGGCCCCCTATGGTGGGGAGAGTCAGGGGGTGCTTTCGCAAGCCAAGAAATGCAGAGTACCAGCAATCCACCAGACACCATGGGAGAGGTGAGTGTTTTTTGGTGCAAAAATATTTGAAATCTTCATATAGTTTTTTTCAGGACAGGCCATTTACCTTGAGCTTTTTGAAGACCCCTCATACGAGGAGGCAAGGAAATACAAATGAGTTTAACTAGAAAGAGAAAATGCCAACCACTTCAGAGCTGACGACCAGGGTACTGAGAACTCGGTGAGCTCCAGAGCTCACGGTCAGCCCGACTGCAACACGCAACACTGCACAGGACTGTGGCTCCCTCCCCACCCGACAAACCAATGATTACAATGAGAGCAATGTTAAATAGCCCACTTTTTTAAAGGTGCAACTTATTTATTTATTTATTTTAACTTGACCAGAGAGGGACAGAGAGAGAGAGAGGGAAAATGAGAAAGCAAACTACCAGGTCTGAGACTCGAAACAAGGTCAGCTGTGTGGGAGTCCAGCGCCCCACACCACCTGCCAGCCCCTAGGCTGCAACTAATTTAAATTTGTAACATTGTATGGGTCATATTTGACACTTCTCTTCACAAACTTGGCTTGCACAGAGACAGTCTGTGACCTCTATTTAATCAGCCTTCTACGAGACAACTGATTAACCACTCCCTAAAGACAGATACCAACTTTCTTTAAATATTCCTCTTCTCTGGGGACCATCAGATGCCATAATGGTTATGTCACTGGACTCCCACATATATCCCTCAGTATATCTGAGACCTGGTGGCTTAAACGCATGCCAGGCGTGTGTGCAGGCATGCCCAAAACTCCAAGAGGAGAATGGAGGAGAAGGGATTGCAGCATGGCCATCCCCCCTGGGGGAGGGGGTGATTTCTGCCTTTCTGTGTCTCTGTCCTTCTGGCAAGCTCACATGCCCTATGGCAAAATCTCCCGTCCCTCGTTGCAAATTCTGCCTAAAAAAAAAAAAAAAAAAAAAAAAAAAAAAAGTAAAAAGAAAAAGAAATATTCCTCCTTTCCAGAAAACCACACTGAATTAGCTGGAGAGAACCAGACAGTAAACATCACACGAAAAGAAGATCGTGTGATATAAAGACGCATCGCTTTTAAAATCCAGGCTCTGAGACTACATAGTGGTCACAGGTGAGAAGTGCATGCACATAGTTTGAAGTTCTAGAATAAAAACGACTTAATGGTATGCTGCACCACTGATCCACGTTTCAGTAAACAAGCTTGCCTTCTGGCTGACGAGAGAGGCAAAATTGACTTTGCCTCCAGTGTCGAGCACCTCTGTGACAAACCCCACTGGAAACTGCCATTGTAGGACAGCGTATAGGGGAAAGTTTACCCTCTACACGTGCCGGCCTGCTCAGAACAACGTTGATATCTTCATAACATATACCTTTGTGTCTTAGAAAAGGATTATTTCCACAGAAGCAAAATACATTTTTCAGAAGAGCTCATTCAAAGGTTTTATGGGCATGTATTCCCTGACTCCTTTGCTCCCAGTGAACTCAAAAGCACCACTGTCTGGAACTGCAGTTCCGAAACGTGCAGTCTGTTGAGCTTACGTCAGAAATCAACAGAGTATCTTGTGAAAACACAGAACCCAGTCCTCACTCCAGATTTTACGAAATCTCTGAGATGGATGGAAGATGGGAGGGTAGAAAAGGGAAACAAGAATTTGTATTTTTTTAGATTTCTTTTCCTATCTTTTTTTTTTCTTTTTAACTTGTCAGAGGGCATATGTGCTCACCAGAGAGAGACAGAGAGAAAGAAAGAGAGGGGAAGAAAACACCCCACCACGGGACATGGTCATGTCACAATCCCCCCTCTTCCATTTTTCCATCCCTCTGGATTTGGGGCACACACATGTGCCCTGTGTGTTTCTCAAACCTCCAGGGTAAGGATTCAAACTATGCAGTCAGCCATGTGGGATCCAGTTTCCTTAACCAGGAGGCCAGGAGCTGTCCCAAATGTTTGTACTTTTACAAGGCAGTATACTAAATCATAATATCCAAGTGTTAAAGTAAGGACACTCATTCCTACGACACAGCAATTTCGCTTCTTCATATTCATTCTACAGACATACTCCAGAACCGGGGGAGAAATGCAGCAATCGTAAATTAGCAACAACCTAAACAACTACCGTAAATGAACCACTAAGTAAATGGCAGGTCCTTATTGCCAGAACTTACTCTACGGCAGTCAAAAAGAACGTGGTAGTTTTTTCTGTGTTAGCACAATAGCTCTCTGAGAGTGAAAAATGCAGTCTGAGGAACCATACATAGATTGCATCCGTCTATGTTAAAATGAAACACTATGCACTGAGAGGTATATCCGTATGGATGCAAATTCCACATAAGGCCTATAGGAAAACACCGAAACTGGGCACTGCGCCTCATCCAGAAGGAGGCACCAGAAGAAGAATTACTTGCCGAGGTGTCCTGTGTTTTGTACCTCCACATTGCTTATAATGAAAATCGATGCTTCTATTACCCAAGGCGTTGAAATAAGTTCAGTCAGAAGGGGCTATCTCTTAGCTGGTCCCTGGAGCAGTAACTTGCATCTCAGGTGAGAGTCAGGTTTGGGGATCAAGGCGTAGTGTGCTTTTCCTGTGAACGCTGTTGAGAGACTCATGAAGTATGCTCTATCTGATTTTAAGTATATGTTTCCATAGGGGATTTCATGTGTGTGTCTGTGTGTGTGTGTGTAAACGTCTAATCCACATGTATAACACACATAGAACGAGCCATATGATCTCAGCAGGCCTAAAATTCCTTGTCCTGAAAGTTGTTTTCTATTAGAACAAAACTTGGGGTCACATAGCTTTCAGGTTGAGTCCCAGTGGAGCCACTGGTGTTTGCGTAAGGCTATGTTATAAGCTATCATCCTGGCCATGGCTTCAGGGGTCCCTCAGTGTGTCCGGGGTTGGGCATGTGGGAACAGTGCCTTTCCTGTCTTCCGTCTCCTGCTTGCTACTGAGTGCTGGGTCACCTCATGAAGCAAAGGGCACCTCCGAGAACGTTCAAAATATTTTCGGACTGGCCCTGTGAGGGCTACTGGTTAAGGGAGGCAGATCCCACATAGCCATCCTAGATCCAGAGGCTTGAGGTCAGATCTGGAGAGGAAATCAGTGAGCAGTGGGAGGGGAGAAGGGGTCAACTGTACCTTAAAGAAAAGATCTGGTATTCCTTTCAGTTTGGTCATGGGGCTAGTAGAGAACTGAATTGAAGCCACGGGAGCCAGGGCAAAAAACATTTTAACTTTTTTGGCCAGCTCAGGAATCTGTGAAAATGCTATAAAACCTGTGGGAACAAAAGGAAAATAACAGGAATTCCATCTTGTGAGACTTTTTCCCCCAGAAAAGGCAAGTATGGTCGCTTGTGACGCCCTCTAGTGGCCGCCTGAGAACTATGCAAACACACCGTCACCACTCAAGCTTCTCTCTAATGGCAGTCTGAGAGCCACGCAAGCCCTCGAAGGAA